TATGCTGTGAAAACCTCTTAAATGAAAACTGATGAAAGATTGAAATATTAAATTAATTAAAATCCACCATACTGATGATTTAACCTACTAAATAAATGTCTAAAACAAAGATATAAATTTGTAGTGCTCAAATGTGTTAAGGAGTTATTTTATTTTTTAAAAAATATATTTTATTGATTTTCTTGCAGAGAGGAAGGGAGAGGGATAAAGAGCTAGAAATATCCATGAGAGAGAAACATCCATCAGCTGCCTCCTGCACACCCCCCATCGGGGATGTGCCTGCAACCAAGGTACACGCCCTTGACCAGAATCGAAATTGGGAGTCTTCAGTCCACAGGCCGACATTCTAGCCACTGAGTCAAACCGGTCAGGGCAAGGAGTTTATTTTTTTATGGTAGTGGAAGAAGTCATAGCCATCCACTGAGCAAAACTGGTCAGGGCAAGGAGTTTATTTTTTTTATGGTAGTGGAAGAAGTCATAGCCATTATGACAATACAGTTAGTCTGACATTACCTGGTAAGATATTATACCAAGTCATGTGAAAATCACCAAACTTTTCCAAGCACACAGATTATTCCTTCAGCAAGTGTGAGAAGATGACATTTCCCAGGCTCCTTCAGTTGCTTGGTTGACGCTGCTCAGCACAAGCTTTATCTCCCTTAGGAAGCCTTCCTGAACACTGGTGCCTTCCCTCCTCACTGCCAACCCTTCCGCCTTTGGGCTGGATTAGTTTGTCACTGCCTGTGTTCCTATATCTCATGTGTATCTTTTTGACCGCTTCATCATGGTTTTACACAAGCACATTCGTGTGCCTGTTTGAACTTACTCCCTCTGGGTCGGGTCCTCTCATTGTGGCAGCTGCACATCTTTGCAACCCTTCTTGCATTTTCATGATACTTGTTCAGTGTCTGCTTTTCTGGTCATTCTGTAAAGTCCATCAGGGGAAGGGGCCCACCCTATTCCAGGCACTGCTGTATTCTATGCTTCTAGCCCATAGTAGATGCTAAGAAAACATTTGTTGAATGAGTTTTTAGAAGTCTCACTTATCTTTCTATCCATAGTACTCTCCCTGCACGGTGTCATTAAAATTTTTTAGTTTTTATCAGACATATGTCGTAGCAATATCTTTACTGATACAGCTCATAGGGCAATGGAAACTAAGGAGAAAATAAACAAATGGGACTACATTAAAATAAAAAGCTTTTGCACTGCAAAAGAAACCATCAGCAAAACAAAACAACAAAAAAGCCCACTGCATGGGAGAACATATTTGCCAATGTTATATCCGATAAGGGCCTTGTCTCTAAAATTTATAGGGAGCTCATACATCTTAAAAGAAAGATAAACAATCCAATCAAAAAATGGGCAAAGGACTTAAATAGACACTTTTTGAAAGTGATCATACAAAAGGCCGAGAGACATATGAAAATATGCTCTAAGTCACTAATTATCTGAGAGATGCAGTTCAAAACGACAATGAGGTACCATCTCACACCTGTCAGAATGCCTATCATCAACAAATTGACAAACAACAAGTGCTGGCGAGGATGTGGAGAAAAAGGAACCCTTGTGCACTGGTGGTGGGAATGCAGACTTGTGCAACCACTGTGGAAAACGGTGTGCAGTTTCCTCAAAAAATTAAAAATGGAACTCCCATTTGATCCAGTAATCCCACTTCTAGGAATATATCCCAAGAACTCAGAAACACCAATCAGAAAGGACATATGTGCCCCTATGTTCACAGCAGCACAATTTACAATAGCTAAGATTTGGAAACAGCCTAAGTGCCCATCAGCAGATGAGTGGATTAAAACACTGTGGTACATACACAATGGAATACTACACTACTATAAAAAAGAATGGACTTTTCCATTTGCAACAGCATAGATGGAACTGGACAGCATTATGCTAAGTGAAATAAGCCAGTTGGAGAAAGATAAATATCACATGATCTCACTCATTTGTGGAATTTAATGAACAAAAATAGAGCCAGAGACATAGAAGCATTGAACAGACCATCAAACTTCAGTGGGAAGGCAGGGGAGGTGGGGGCGGGGGGTAAGAGGTCAATCAAAGGACTTGTATGCATGCATATAAGCATAACCAATGGGCACAGACACTAAGGGTGGTGAGGGCATGTGCTAGGGGGTGGGAGTGGCTGGGGAGAGGTCAATGGGGGAAAAAGGAGACATATGTAATACTATATGTAATACTTAAAAAAAAAGAAAGGGGATTCCACTGTGTGGGAGAACATATTTGGCAATGATACATCTGATAAGGGGTTAATCTACAGAATATATATTCTCATACACTTACCAAAGGAAAACAAAAAATCAAATTAAAAAATGAGCAAAGATCTAAATAGACGCTTCTCCAAAGTGGACATACAGATGGCCAAGAGACATATGAAAAAATGCTCAACATCACTAATCATCAGAGAGAGACCTAAATTAAAACAATGAGATATCAACTCACACCTATCTAAATGTCTACAATCAACAAATCAACAAATGACAAGTCCTGTGAGGGTGTGGAGAAAAGGGAAACCAAGTACACAGTTGATGGGAATGCAGACTGGTGTAGCCACTATGGAAAACAGCATGGAGTTTCCTCAAAAATTAAAACTGGAACTTCCATTTGACCCAGTGATCCCACTTCTAGGAATATGTCCTAAGAAACCTGAATCACCAATCAGAAAGGATATATGCATTCCCATGTTCATAGCAAGACTATTCACCATAGCTAAGATCTGGAAATAGCCCAAGTAGATGAGTGGTTAAAAAGGCTGTGGTACATCCTATATAATAAAAGGCTAATATGCAAATCAATCGTACAGCAGAATGACTGGTTGCTATGATGTGCAATGACCACCAGGGGGCAGACACTCAATGTAGGAGCTGCCTCTCACTGCTGGTGAGCGCAGCCAAGGTGGCCGGAGCCTATCCCGCCACTGCGGCAGCACTAAGGATGTCTGACTGTCAGCTTAGGCCCGCTCCCACTGGGGAGCGGGCCTAAGCCATCAGTCAGATATCCCCTGAGGACTCCTGGACTACAAGAGGGCACAGGCCAGGCTGAGGGACATTCCCCAAATGCACAAATTTCGTGCACCAGGTCTTTAGTTTATAAAATAGAATACTATGGAGTTGTAAAAAAGAAGGATCTCTTTGCCTTTGAGAGCATGGTAAGACCTGGAAAGTATTATGTTAAGTGAAATAAGCCAGTCAGAGAAAGACAAATACCATATGATCTCACTTAGATTTGGAATCTAATGAATAAAAGAAACTGAATAGGTCCAGGGACATGGAAGCATACAGCAGACTGATGATTCTCCGGGGAAAGGGGTTGAAGAGGAAAGAGATTAACCAAAGAACTTATATGCATATACACATAACCCATAGGGACAGACAATAGTGTGCTGAAGGCTTGGGGAGGGGGTGGGAGTAGGTTGGAGGGAGTTCATGGGGGAAAATAGGGGAAATCTGTAATACTTTCAACAATAAAGATAAATATTAAAAATCCAATATTTTTATTTTTTATGAATAAGCAGAAAGATATTTATATGGCAATGAATAAAATGCTCCTCATGAAATACCAGCCAATTATAACAATAAACCAACCAACACCTATGTGCATATGCTTTCCAGTTGGCGAGACAAATTTAGTAGGTCTTACATGCTGCATGATGGGGTAAATCTGTGAGTTCTGGAGTTAGCCAGTGTTTGAAAGCTCCACTAACCAGCAACATGACCTTCGGTAAGCTATTTAATAGCTCCTTTTGCCTCAGTTTCCTCATCGGTAAATGTTTTTGAGTGTTTAAATGAGGTTAACATATATAATGCCTGGCATATAGTTAGTACTAATAAAAATCAGCTATTATTACCAAGTGTGCTTCTAGAATAGTTTGCTATTCATTTGACTGACCTTGGTAGCTAGTGCTTCCATGCCTACTTAATTACTGGTCTAGATGGGAAGACGGGTTAATGTGTGAATCACCAGAGGCACTGCCTCTTTCAGATTATGCATCTGTGCTTCAGTTCACCAGTTCTCAGCACTTTTTTCACCATTGCCTTTTTGCTGCTATTTCCACAATTGTAGGACAATTTTCTGTGTAATGTCTTACCAAGAGTGCACAGGCAAATGTTAAACTAAGAACATGTCATTTTTTCCTGTATCTAGCCAGCTTCACTGTCTGATTATGCAGACATTTGAACTTGTGTTCTTTCTTCTAGACATTGCTTTGCCGAGTGCAAGGAACATATTGTGTTAGCAAGTGTCTGATGCACAGAAACTAATATATTTTCTTTGAATGAATGAATGAACAGAAATGAAAAGGACATCATAAGCTCTTATGTAAAGTGCTATTTATTCTTGAGGCCCGAACTGTATGCATTATAGTATTTCAGCTGAAAATTAATGAGGCCTGAAGTAGAAGACACAGGAAAGTTTCAAGATGAGTTATGGCTTCAAGTAGGCTCGGGGGAAGAGCTGGATTTGTCTATGCTGAAGGTAAAGGGCATCAGAGTAAAGCATGATAACATCCTTTTATACTCACGTGTGTCCCTAAGCCAGTGTGTATTCATGCTCTTAGTAGATCTGAAATTGTCAGTGCAGAGGTGTGTTGCTTATTAGATTAGTGAATTATCTGAAAAACTGCTATGAAAGTTGAGAATTTGTTGTTAACAGGGCTAGCAATAAAAAAGAAGCTGCTAAGGGAAGAACAAATGGTCTCTACCACAAAGTCATATCCACTTAAACTGGGGATAAAGGGCCATGAGTAATTAACAGTATCTTGAAAATAAATAAACAACGCCCCTCCCTACACACAACTTGCAATCAATAAAAATGTTTCATTTTGGGGAAAATGTGCATGGCTTGGGGTCTTCACAAAAGTTATGTAAGAAGTTCTTCTTATTCACTTTTTAAAAACGTGCACTAAATAAAAAAGTCAGTAATGTTTGAGGAAAGAATAAACCTAGTTTTTCTGCATACAGTTCCCAGGAAAACAGTATCAAATTCCCCAAGAAAACAGATTGATTTTTCTTAATTCCAGTAATGTAATTTCTGAAACCGAGAAGCTGTTGCTATTAATATATGGGATTGGATTTCTGATAAAATCTATGAAAAGATATAACCACATCAATCGTGTAGATAACTTAATTAAAATTTTTAGTATTAAAAAATACTATTGTAATGATTTTAAAGGAAGAATTTCATATTTATTATTTGCATTTTTATACTTGGTTAAAAATTATAGGCTAGATCTAAATTTTTTTCACATTTGTGCTGTTTTACAATTTGAGAGCTCTTATAACTCAAGTAATTAAGCTTTTAAAATAAATTTTCTATCTTCAAGGTGCTGATATTGAGGTGTTATTTAATCTTAAAATCAATTATTGTCCATGACTCTTAGGTGAGTAATTAATTTACTTAAACCCTCATAGTGATTAAACGGTTGAGATTACAGTTATTAATGCCAGTGATCATGATCTAGGTTAATAACAATAAAAATAGCTGGTATTTCCTTGTTGCTTAGTATGTACCCTACAAATTTAATCTCCATCTGCTCTTTACTAGGAGGTAAAAACATTAGCTACTACTGCTACTACTACTATTATTATTATCCTCATTTTATTGATAAAATAATTGGTTATAGAGTTTAAGGAATTCAAACTCAGGCCTGTCTGGTTCTTGAGCTTGGATTAACCACTCTGCAATCTGCCTTCTCAAAACTAGTATTTCATGACAAATCAACCTCATAAAATAAATTTTATCTCTAAAATCTAGATCATACATTTTTTGAGGATCAGGACTGTGTATTACAATTTATCTCTTTGCCTATCACGATATCACATGCTAGTAAGAACTTATAAACTTGAGTGAAGTCATTGATAACATTGTCTTGAACTTACCCGGCATGCATCCACTCCACCTTGAGCCAGTCCAGCACATAGCATTGAAGACAAGACTGCTCCATCATAACTATTTGGTGCATTACATACATTGTTACTTATTATGTTGACCTGTCCTTGTTCTAGTTCTGGAACTGGGTTGCCTGTTAATTACAAATCAGAAAGAAAATAGACTCAAAATAAGTAAATAAATTGAAGACTCTACATTGAATATGGGAAGGAATAACTGCACTCCAAACTTTATCTCTTATTCAGAAAAGAAGGCTATTAAGATGTACTTAGGTGTCTCTTCTCAGTAAAGATACCCATGAGTAGAGAAAGATAACCTTTTTTACACAGATCAGTCTCTCTCTCTCTCTCTCTCTCTCTCTCTCTCTCTCCTTTCGCTTCGTGATGCCACTTAGAATTTAAGAACAAAAAAATAAATCTGCCATCTTAAAATTGACAAGTAGCATTTAAATTATCTACTGACTGACTTTGATTTGGAAAATTACATGTTGAATAACCTTTAATATAGCAACAAAAGAGAAACTAGCCTGTTTTCAAGGCTAAAGAACTAATTTATTTTATATTGATGTTCCATCAAAAAACAATGCCATTTTTGTGATTCGCACAAATTTTTATATACTACACCAAATCACATTGGACCATCAGAACACAATAAAATATCTTCCTGGACAATTAAACCCAGGAAAATCTTTGTGTTATTCTGGAGAGACATCTACAACATGGGTAAATCCCATGAAAATTGTTAATGCTATCTTTCCACTCCTCAGCTGATGATACTCTTATTTTCCCCTTGGCCCTATTTGCTTCCTCATCTTGCCCTCATATTTATTTCCATTTTATTCATTCGATAAATAAATCTGAGCAATATTTATGTATACCTAGAGTGTCTTGCGTGAGGCAGAATTTATTTCATCCCATGGCTATTAATGCCTTAAAGGGTATTAAAACCCTTAGATAATATCTAGCCAAATTCTCTTTTAAAAAATGTTATTTTATTTTTCTTCTTATAAGGGAGCCATTTGAGTAACATGGAGTCTCTGCATCATTGAAAAATTCATGTATTTTCATCACTGTATCTTGTATTTCCCTATGAAGAACTCATGTTTCTTTATCACCTTATTTTACATTTTCCTGTGCATTTGGAAATTCCCCATAGTAGCTAGGTACATTGCTTTGTTTTGCTGAGGGAACTCAGGAATAACTACAGTTTAGACTGACCAGAATATAGTATGGCTATGTTTGTAGAATCCATCTTTCAGGTGTTCCCTAATTTAAAAAGATTATATAATAGCAAGTACCAGAAGATTTTTTTATTTTTCCTGAGATACTTACTGTCATATGCTCGTGATCCCCATCCTGTTACATAAACAGTGGAGCCAGGTGAAAAATTCTGGGTAGCCTCTGGGAGACATACCGTATGGATATTTTTGGTAAAGGTGACACCTTCTACAAGCTTCACAACTGCAATGTCATTTTCATGAGTTACAGAGTTATAATTGTTATGGACCAAAATAGTATTTACTGCTTTTCTCATTACAGGAAATGCTGTGGAAATACCAAAGGTGGCAGTCCATCTACGAGGATCAGAGTAGCTAAAAAAAAAGAAAGAAAGAAATCATGGATTTGAATAGGGAATTTGAAAGTATGTTAAATATTTGGATTTTGTGTTTTTTACCCTCACCACCATCTAGAAACTGTTTGGTCAACCCCTCTTTGCTATATATTTCTGTATCACATAGCTAGCATGTGAGTTGAACTCTTCACTGACATAATAAAGAAACATAAGAAAGATTTTAGGAAATATATCTTAGGTTGGTGAAATCTCAGTAAGGATATTCTGACACTTTGATATGCCTTCATTGATGTTTCTCTTTTCTATATCTTCCTATTCAAACAACTAAGAAGCCTGAAGGAATCTCTACTTTAGTTTTAACTCATTTCTTCCATCTGTATTTTTTCCTTGCCATGCCTTTAGCCAAAAGCTCTATTTAAATAGTATTTATAAAAAGAGGCTCCCATCTTATTAGTTAATGAATGATTTTTCTGTACTGTGAGGCTTGTTGAAGATTTCTGTGTACATGTGTACAATATGTGTATCTGTGTGTGTGTGTGTGGGGGGGGGCAGGTGAAACCATTCCCTAATATAAAAAAAACTAAGGCATTATCTTTGTGACCTAGAAATTTGGATTTCTTAGTGAAACTCCCAAAACACGGACCATAGGTTAATAATGGATGAATTTCATGGAATCAAAATTAAGTATACTATTGACAAGTTTACTAGATGGATGAGAAACCATGAAAAAATACTTGCAGTGTTTAATATCTAAAACTTTTGTAGAATATATAGAAAGAAATCTGTAAACCAATAATAAATGTGCAGAAAAACTGTTATAAAATGGGCAAAATATGTGAATAGAAAGTTCATGGAAGGGGAAGGTCAAACAGCTAGTAGATACATATGTAAAAGAATACTCAAACCCACTAGTAAGCTGAGAAATGGAAAATATAACAATAATGAGCATCTAGTGTACATTCATGAGGATGACAACAGTTTAAGAAGAGAATAACATGGTGTCGGTGAAGAGAAGTTCAAACTCTTTTGCACTGCTGGTAAAGATGTAAACTTCTGGAAAGCATTTCAGTTTGTTTGGCAGACTGCATATATACTTCTGGGTACATATTTCAGAGAAATTCTTGAAGGTTTGTAGAGAGGCAAAAATGAGGGTGTGTGTGTGTGTGTGTATGTGTGTGAAGTTGAAGCAACCGACTTGAATAAAGGTATATGGTGGAGTTTAAGGTGGACCAGATTAAAATTCCCAGGATTGAGCCCCCAAAATAAGGAATAATATGAGCACAATGTTACTTATATAAATGAAGGGCACACACACACACACACACCCTATACATTTTGTAGGTAATTATATATTTGAAGACATATGTAAAATATCAGTGTGAGGCCTATGGGGGCAGCGGAAGTAGGATCCACTTATAAAAGGAAAAAAATAAAATGAGAGAAAGATGTTGTATAGAGTGATGAAAATAAGGATCTATAAATTGTAGGGTTAACTCAATGTGCTCCTAACGTTGAATAAAAACAAAATGTAGTCTGGCTGGAGTGGCTCAGTTGGCTGGGCAGCATTCTGTGCAATGAAAGGTTGGCTGTTCTATTCTCAGACAGAGCACATACCTGGGTTGCAGGTTTGGCCCCAGGTTGGGCACATATGGAAAGCAGCGAATTGGAAGGCAACCAATCGATGTTTCTCACTCTCTCCTTCTCTCTCTAAAATAAATAAAAATATGTTTTAAAAATGAAACCAAATAATAATTTAATGGTTTTGAGGAGTTTAGATATAGACAGTGGAATTGATACAGAAAATAAAACTTATATATCCAGGAAATACTTTTATAAGTCACAGTAGCTTGTATAAAGTAAATACTAGTTAAAAATTCTAAAGAAAAAATATTTCACAACAAGCAAATACATGATTATTTTACATTGAACTTCATTTGATCGGGGTCTTTCAGTGAAAATTCTAAAATATATTCTTTGTGTCTTTCTTCCCTCTTCGCCTCCTTGCTTCCCTGTCTCCATTTCCTCCTTTATTTTTTTTTTTCTTCCAGCAAATGGATAAGATCATGGTTTGAGAACCAGTAAGATTTAGATTTGAATCTTGGCTATGCCACATATTAACAATATTATTTAGGGCAAGTTACTTACACTCTTTTTTAAAAAAATATATTTTATTGATTTTCTACAGAGAGGAAGGGAGAGGGATAGAGAGTTAGAAACATTGATGAGAGAGAAACATCGATCAGCTGCCTCCTGCACACCCCCTATTAGGGATGTGCCCGCAAACAAGGTACATGCCCTCGACCGGAATCGAACCTGGGACCCCTCAGTCTGCAGGCCAATGCTCTATCCACTGAGCCAAACCGGTTAAGGCTACTTACACTCTTTAATTCTCAGTTTATTTAATGCATAAAATGTGATAGATGATTTCCTCTCATACAATTTTAAGCATTAATTCAGACAAGTAAACTATGTCAAGCACAGTGCTTGGCACAAAGTAAATACTCAATGAAGGTAACTATTCTTTTCACTAGTTATAATTCAGCAAGCCATTACTAAGTATCTACTTTGTATAATGAATAGTATGACTCTCTGAGAATAAGAATATACATAATTATGGGTGGAGTCCTCATGTACATGTCTCTCCTAGTTGTTCCAGATGGGTAGGTAGCTGTGGCCTCACCTTCTGAAGCAGTGAGCTGCTGCTAGGATCCATGTGTTACTGGGCAGCTCTACACACTAATGAAGGAGGAGCCTAACAGAGATAATCATAAATCACAGGCACTACTGTTAAAGGTTAATAAGCATATTTTTGTGAGAAGAAGGTAGGAGAAGGAAGGGAGCATCAGGGAAAGCTTCATAGAGGAGGTAACAATTCAAGACTCTTTTCTATGAGGGCCTCATCACTTCTATGTCCCTTGACATAAGATTGGTCCTGCCCCAAACAAATCCTCATTAATGGGTTCTCAGTGACAATCAGGTCTACAGGGAGATGCCAACACAAGGTTCATGTAGTTTGCCAGCTCTCAGGGATAAGTCAGGGTAGTGAATGGAAGGATTTGGGGAGACAGACTTCCCCAAATGTTCCAAGCCTTTAAAATCATGGAATTCTTTGGTTATCATTGGTGATATTTATAACTGTGGCTTTCATTATAATTGTGGTTTTCATTTATAACTGTGGCCTTTACTTAGCTTTTGGTGGTCGGATCTGAATACAGCTTAGAATCCTGCACTCTTTCTATTGCATTCTTGATTACTCTAAGTGCTTGTTGCTAAGTCCAGGTATTTGCATTTCTGGTTCCTAAACTGAGGGGGGATCAAAATCAATTAATGCCATTCCTTTTAGGTGGCAATGAAGACTGAAATGTTTTTGTTAATTTTGTTGCTTGTATTTTCTGATATATAGCAATAAATGTGCTGATCTAAATCAGAAATTTGGTTACTCCTGATATCACAAAGTTCTGCTATCAGAAATTTAAAATGTATTCATTGTGTAAAAAATATATTGAGTCATAATATAGTCATAAGAAAATTTCAGAATAATATGGGGTTTCCTAAAACATTTGTTCAGAATACATGTACTAATCTTTTTAAATGTTACTCCCTCTAAACTTAATAAACACTTTTGAAACAGGCATTGCAGTATGAGGCAGTACCATCAAATCTGTAAAGGACTTCTTAAATTAGTGAAGATTTTATAGAATTCCAATAGACATGGAGGTTTTGAAGGAATATTAACATTTCAAAGAGAATAATCAGATTGAGCAAATGCTCTGAAGTGGGAAAATGTAAGCAGGGTCCAGGGGCAGAGACTAAGGTAATCTGGTTGGCGCTTAAGGCTCGTGCTTTGAGAAATAAACCTGAATTGCTAAAATTGGAGTGCTTTGGGCGTGTGGTAAGGAGAATGGGTTTGAGACAGGTGTTATTGAAAGAGTTTGAGAAGAGAATAGATACAGGCAGAGACACATGAGTTCAGAACATCCTCACTTTCTAAGTGAGCTTTTTGAGTTTAATTCTTTCACAGTGTTTGTGTCTGGGATACCCTACTGATAAGGTAGGTCTGAACCTGGCAGGTTTTAGTCACACTAAAGTCTAAAGATCTTCTATTATGAGCAGTAGGACCTTTTCTTTATGTCAATAGAATAAGTTTATGTATCCTACTATGCTGGGGTCCAGCCCCAGCAGGTCCAGGGGTGCCCAAAGGTGTGGACGGAGTCGGCGAAGAAGGAATGACACGGAGACAGCGTTCAGTTGATCAGCAGCCGTGCCAGGAT